ATTTGAGGCCTCCTGTAGGTGCATGTACTGACCCCCTAGTCTCAGCATTACCCTGGCCCCTATCTCTTACCTGTTTATTCGCTTCGCTCGATGGTCTGGGCTGGGCTGTAGTTGTGGGTGCTGTTTGGTCTGGCAGCCTGATGTTTCCTCCGCCCTCATATACCCCTTCCCCCAACAAGCCTAGTTTAAAGCCCGCCAGAGGAGGTCCGCCAACCTAGAAGAGAACACATGCTTACCTTTAGGGGAAAGGTGGAGCCCATCCCATCCCAGCATGTCTCTCGTCATGAACCCTCAGTAATCAGAACTCTTGAGGAGGTGATATCTTTTATTAGACCAACTAGATAGTTACAGCAAAATTTCTTTATTTGCAGTCTGTTGGCTACACATGCCCTTCCTCAGACATAGGAGAATTCAAAGAGTGTAAACTTTCTCCCAGGTGAAAATGAAAATTCACATTTCACAGGAGAGCTGAAAGATGGTATAATCTCCTAGCTGGAAAAGTTCATTCTATGTAGAATAGGCTCAGATAAAATTTGGAGCAGTCTATTTACTTGTTTGATGGCAAATAGGACATTGAATTATGCTTCTTTCTTGTTATGCTGGTTCATATTTCACAGGAGGGTGGTGATGGAAGGCTGTCCTGGGCAAGGAACTTCTCTTGTGTTGAGACTGCTCTGTGACCATGGAGCAAGTGTATCAGCATTCAGGTCTCAATGTATTGAATTGTGCTTCCTTCTTGTAAAATTACAAAGTTTTCTTTTCAAAATCCTCCTCCCCGCCTCACCCAGTCTCCAGCTAGCTGTGGCTACACTGCCTTGGCTCTGCACCCAGGAGCAATAAAGTCTGGCACAACCTGTATTGCAGTTTATTGTATCACATTAATATTACATGTAGATGTACCCAGTGAGGCTAAGATGTTTTAATACCTTTCCAAATTGATTGCACTATTATGTTTGTAAATACAGGAGATATTCTATAAGTGAAAGATTAAATCCTGAGCTCCATCTTCAGACACCATCCTATTGGTCTCTCTGAATATTTTACCAGAGTAAGAGTAAGGTGAACAGGAAGTGGTTTCAGAAACTGATCCCTTATATTTAATTATTTACTTGAGTAAGTTCACTTTGGTTATCTGAAGGTAATTATGAGCCTATGGGCCAAGTTACATTGGTGGTTTTGAGGCAAGATTTATTCAGTCCTTCTTCAAGCAAACTCCAGCTCTATGAACAGAACTCATGGATTGTATGAGGAACAAATCAGAGGAATATCTGTTGCGATTAGCCAGTGTAATTTGGCTCTGATTAGAGTAGTGTTTGGCCAAAGTCATTTAAGTGTGAAAACATTTTTCAGGCTATTGAGTCTCTGGTTACTTTCCCATTAAGGAATGTGCTGTGTTCTGTCACCTTCTTCATCGCACCAGCAAAATGGGAATGTTCCACAGCACGGCTGCAGCCAGGGTTTCCACACAATGTTGTATGCAGAGAGCTGCTGTGGAACTGGACTCAGAGTGCCATGGTGGTCCCACACAGCTCTTTCTATTCTGCTTATTACTGCATCAAACAGGGGTTCAGTGTCAGGTGAGAGAGGATTGGCTTCAGAAGGGTCTCGTGAGAGATCAAAAAGCAAAGGAGGATCATGGTGGGTTACATCTTCTCCAAAGCAGTGGCAAATTCCACTTTTATAGCAGGCTCCAGCACCCTCTGGCTGGAATATTGGAGTAGTATAATGAGCCTTCCACAGTGCACCACCTGGAGAGAAACAAACTTAAATAATATAGTGGCAGCAGGAGACAGTGGGTGCTTCCACACGTGCAGTAATGTGCTGTAATTACTGCTCATTAAGTTAGTACCTGTAATAACAGCTACTAACTTAATGCGCAGTAATAGGCACTACTGCACAGTAGTGCCAGTGCACAACTTTTAGGTGAAGTTAGTGTGCAGTAGACTAAATCTACTGTGCATTAGTGCATCAGCATGGTTTTTGCCGTCATGAGCTAATGCTCAGTGGAATTAATCTACTGCACTGTTAGTGTTGTGTGTAAATGTGTCCAGTGAAGTTTCTTGCAAGATTGGTGTGGATCAACCTATGTAAGTTTGCTTCTGACCTGTAGCTTCCTGTGCGGGCTCGGGTGTATCCGATGCCGCACCCGCCTTCTCTCACGCCTCGCCCACAGCGCTTCCAATCACTACGGGTCCCTCCTCTCGGCCTGTACGCGCTTGATACGCCTGCCACGACTTTGATGTTATTCTGGTTCAGTGATGGTAATCCAGCACGTAACAGTCCAAAAGTGAGACTCTGGGACTCTTGGGGTCCCTAGTCAGTGAGGGCTCCGCCACCCCTACACCCTCGCCCGTACCACCGGACCTGTCGTCGTCTCGGGCCCACGGACCTGTCAGTAGGTAGTTCCCTTTTACTTTGCGATCTCTGCGATCTATGCCATCAATGATTTTCCAGTCCAGGTTATTTGGGCACTGGGCTAGCCTGCCCTCAGTGCCCTATTGTTCCTACCCGGCTGTTGGGTGCTAGAGCACTCTTTCCTAGGACCCTCTCAGGGCTCCTTACTCCTTTTCCCTGGCTTCTTACCAACTTTCAGTCCTTATAGACCCTGGGCAGCCTCTTCTCCTGTAGAGAGTGCCCCTCTATTCCAAACTATACGGCTCCCGGCTCCTGCCGGGTCCCGCCATTCTTAGCTGCGCTGCACAGCCCGGGTCTTCGCTGGGACTCGTCATCCCTGCTTCCCTGCCCTGTGGAGGCGTCAGCTTACCCCACCAGGTTCAACAGCACCTCCGGACAGTTTCTCTTCGCTCACTGCAGCTTCCTCTTGCCGCTGCAGCCGCCTGGCTTCCTCCTGGCTCCACCTCTCTTCTTCCGGACGCTGGCGTCCCTCTTACGCTGGTCTTTGCCGCCTGGGCCACGCCTACTTCCCTGCACCTGCAGATGGTAAGGGGTTGCCCAGCGTTTCGGGCGTATGTGAGTGAGTTCAGCGCTGCTGCGCCAGGGCGGGAAGTCTCCGATCCGGCCCGCCTCTTCACTCCCTCACACTTCCAAAGAACTTTCCAAATGCTGTAGGCACACTTAGTAAGAGGTGAAGTGGAGCTGCTATCTCCTGACCGTGGCTAGGTGGGAGTGTAGTAGCACATTCCCTCAAGACTCAGAGTATTTTCCAGTGCTTGCAGGCCCACATTATTTTCTTATTTTCCTTTTTCTGGGGTGTTTGTAGCAGCATACCTCCCACATGGACAGCTAGTTGAATTGACTGGTGCCTTATGAAAGGGAGAGCTGTGTGCCCCTGGGAAAGTAGGATGGACATAGCTCTTTCTCTAAGAGCTCTAGGCCTCACATGGTTTGCCCAGAGAAGGTTATTTAAGGCCTCCCCCCTACAGTGTATAATCAGAGTAGATCTAGACTGACCCTTGTCATAATTTATTTCCAGCTGCATGCTACCCAATGTAGAAGGCAGGGACTTTTACCAGATATCAGCCATAGGTAACTAAAATAACAGAGTCCAGAGACCCATTTTAAACTTCATATGATGAACACAAGACTGCAACTCCGCAGCAGCATGTTTTATCGAACTGTTACACTGGCCACTGGCTTTCCAGGTGCAAATCTATAATCTGAACAGAACACCGTAAAAACGGAAATAGCAGGAGGCTAGGCCAGCAGGCTGGATAATAATGAAAAATGGCAATGTGCTAAGATTGAAACTGAATGCAGTTCAACAGGAGATTTTCTTCCCCCTGCATCCTGTGGTCAGAAGGCACCACACTGATATACGTTAAATCATTCCTAAAGAGGTGGAGGATGTGCCCAGAAAAAGGGAGAAAGATTAGAAGTGATGCCTAACTCAAGAGGCGAAAGGGAGAGTCAGTGTTTGGAGCCTTGTAGTGCACAGAGCACAAAAGCCTACATTTGCATTCTGCATACAAGGCATTTTCTTTCTGCTTCAATGGAAACTGCTGAACTCTCCTCCTTTGTATTGTGCCCTGAGCTGTTCTCCATAACTCTATGTCTACAGCTTCATTCTTTTGCCTGAGACATGTATTGCTGAAGCCAGTATATCTTTTGCTAATCAAAAAGTATTAGGAGTAAGGAAGGGAAAATAATAATTCATCTGAAAGGAAAGTTTAGCAAATGCTCTTGTTAAAAAAAAAAATCTTTGGTTTTAATCCATTCTGTAATTAGTTTCAAAATCACTTCCCATTATCAAATTCAAACCTTTAGGCTCTATTTCAGGACTTCAAAGTAATAACTTGGGGTTAAATTCCCAAAGTATTTTTTTCTTTGAAGCTAAAATGTTTCAATGCCTTTCCAAATTGAGTGCACTTTTATATTTCTAAATACAGAAATTATTCTATACACAAAGGGTTAAGTATTTCCAAAATATTTTTTGGATTAAAATAAAACATTGATATAGGCAACCTCCTCTCTCATTTGTTAGCAAAATATGATGTAAATATAACCTAAAATATGGCTTTTATTAAGGGATATCTCCACTAAATTAGACAAAATGTATTTTAAAGCCATTTATTTCCCAATATGCTGTGCTTAAGTTTGCCTTTGTGTAGGTATGTAGGCACATATCTTTTACTATAAATGTATTTGGAACTACCCTTTTGCTAGATAGATACCTAGCAGACAGATACATGTGTTTATTTATATATAATACTTTGACTCATTTGCATTCCAAAAACCAATCTGGGTATGCATTTGGATTTTTTACTAATGTTTGAGCCTGATTATCCACAGCATTGGATGCTGTGTAGAAACTTGCAGAAGTGCAAAATGGGTAAAGAGTGGCAGCAAGGTGCCATGACACAAGTTGCAGGGCAGTGGAAGGTTCATCTATGTTAGCATTGCAGGGTGCATTGTGCAGTTAACCAGAATTAGCCAATGTCAGCTTGTTAGTCAACTGAAATGCCAACTGAAATACAGCTACTTGCTTAATGTCATAGTTATGTTCTTGAAAAATGCGACCTTAAGTGAAATGATGTTAAGCAAATCCAGTTACATCGCAGTAGTTACCTACTAGCAGGAGGCAGCCAAACAATATTATAACTGAACATTGCGTGACTTTAAACACGTATGTTCTCTAATAGATCAGTGACGTACTAATGAAAAAGCGTTAACCAGGACAATGCTGAGTGAGGAGTACCTGTAAAAGAAAACAATGGAGGAGAACATTGAATATCAAGTAGAAAGGCAACAGAGAAGTCAGTCGCAGTTACAGCCAGCATGGCAGAGAAGAAGAATAAGAATGCATGATGGGATCTGATGGAACCTTGACAGAACTTGAAGGATGTGTGTGAATTTTAGGGCAACATGTTAATGAAATGTGTTCAGGAAAAACTGCTTCTTGAATCCGTGTAACTCACCAACCCATCTGGTGACAATCAATCAATTTAACAAGCAGAAAGAAGCGGACTGTCAGTAATAAGACTTATTGTGCCAGGGTAGGGAAATGGACTCTTTAACATACAGACAAAAGACTCTTCTAGCCTAGATGAAAGGCCTAGTTGACGTGTACTGAATAGAAGACATCAGGAGACAATGGTTTCAGATTCAGGCAGTCTGACACACATGCATGAAAGGACAATAAAAGTGTAACATGAATGTGATATAGTATAAAATGAGTATAGATACAAAGAGAAATCATTCAGACTCCAAAGAGTCTGCCTGCATGAAGGGAAATGAAAGCATTAGAGCAAGAGAAGAGAAATTTGTTCCAGATAAAATTTAGCAATATGTAATAATTCTTGGTTTACTAGTTTTTCACTTAACCAGTTTCATGCAACTAGATTTCAGCTCTAGCCACATGCTAAAAATATATCTGATTTTTTTCACGTTAATGGACAGGTACAGATGCAAATTATGAAGCTATTGAGCAAGTGATATTTTTTCCTGTTTGTGAAGAAAAAATCGATGTAGTAGTTATGAAATTCTTTCTAAACAATTTCTCTAAAGCTTGGGCATTTTTCATTCTTTATACAGCTGTTTGTATGTTTTTCAGTGAGATAAATGTAGAAATATACATAGACAAGTATGCAGTTAAGCAGAACACGTGGGAGATTTTCCATCCTAGGAGTAATGCAGAAATATTAACAATCTTTTCTGACTTTTGAAGGTAAAGCTGTTGGGTTATAAGCTGATGTAAGTTCTATTTAGTTATTTGGGGCCAGATTCCCAAAAGTACTTAGATCTTGCAGTGTTGATCATTGTAAATATATAACTCCAAGACAAACAGCTGGTGGAGTCCTCAATTCCAAGTTAGGTGTCCAGCTTTCCTATACAGTGCAGTAGAACAGCCAGGTAAGGATCATTGTTTTAGCTAACCAGGAACAAAGTACTAAGAAATGGAATTGAAACACCAAATCAGCTGTGTGGCCAGAAACAGCAAACTCTCTTTAGCCAGGTAGGACCTTCCTTTCACCTGGGATCCTAAGTCATGAACCTACTCCTGGGGCTGGATTCCTAGTCCCATCTACACGGAAATGAGAGACCAAGACAGTATAACAGAATACTGTTTTAGAATACTCAAGAACTGAATAACTTCCCAGAATACCCAGGAACATAATGGATCAATGCATTCATCTTAGGCATGGGAGGCATGAATTGAAATCCCTGCTGCTGCGTGTTACATAACAGCTCTGTGTTCTTGGGGAACCCTGGCACAGGACACAGCCTGTCTGACTCACAAAGGACTCACCCCCGCCCCAAACAAGAACTGATTGGAGGAAGGATGACAAAA